CTTAGAGTATCGGCACTCTCTTCCCCGACAGTGTTGTGAACGCCGCCATTCTGGTGCTTGTGCAGAGCAGTGTTGCGGAATTGCCACTCCGGAGTTGGAATGATTCCGGAATCGTTCCACATTTTCGCGACCCCGGAATGGAATGGGAATGGAATGGCGGCAACGTTGAGGAGAATGGAATGGGAATGGAATAGACCCTTTACGAAAGTCAGTCTACCCACCTTGTGCAGAGCCGGACCCGACGCTCTAATGGCGGAACTACACTGTTTCTCCACACCAGAAAAATCGAGCGTCTCCGAAAGCACAGAGCAGAAAAAGGAAAAGATGGTGGTCGTTTCACGTCACCTTCGATGCACGAAATCGAGGGTGCTTGACTTAGCCGCGCATGATCTCCTATCACCGCCATTAGAGCGGCAATATTGGAGCTTTTTGGACTGCCACAAGAGGACTCTGACTTTTGAAAAGGGTCTATTAGATGCCTTTCGCCCGGAATGGAATGGGAATGGAATGGGGCGCGGTTCTTTATTTTTTTTTAATTTAATTTTTTTTTTTACGTTTAGCTATATTGAGTTAGTCAGCGAGTCAGTTGTTCAGAAATAAAATGAGCGGGAAACTGCAAACCCGCGTGGAGCCCTAACAGACTTATACGCAAAAAAAAAAAAAAAAAAAAAAAAAAAATGCAATACAAAAAACAGGCGTCAAAGCAAAGAACATAGGGGGGGGGGGGGGGGGGAAGGGGTGCGGCGGTGGCGCCTTTCACCAGTGAAGTTCAACACAAATCCGAATGCGTCTGCGCCTGTTGCACGGCTCAAGGGTACATAATCAGTCGACGTGAACCTGACCCGCTGCTCTGGTGATCCGATACCTAAGAAGGAGGCCAGACATGGCCTCGCTGTGCCGACCCAGAATGCGTACACCTGCGACTCGTCTCGAGCGCGCTGTTTCTCGGAAAGCTCACACCTGTACCGGCCATCTCAGGTCGCAATCCACAGCTCTCTGTTTGGATGATGCTAGCCAAAACTTGAGGACTGCCACTCATGTGTTTGAGGCGGAAGGTCGGCAGGTAGGGCCGTCACAACAGGGATGCCGCCGTGTCGATTTTTCAACCGTAACAGAAGATAAGACATGTGCTCCAGGATGCTTCGGTGGTCCACCCTATTCTATAAAATTCCAAATGCAACTGCCTGCATTGTCTTCAACGAGGTCACCTACAACGAAAGTATGCATTGTCCTTTCATACAGCAGCGTGGGTAAAGTTTCATGTTCAAGGCAACAGCTACAGATACAAGAATACTAGTTCATTTCGCCGTGACGTCACGTCATCAGTGTTGACAGGGGTGCCCTTACTGGACAGTTGAGTGGTGATGTTTTGATGGAATTTATTTAGAGGTCGTCGTCTTTTCGCATCACTGGTCAGACAGACAGGATGCCAGGGAAGGGACCGCGGTCAATCCTTGATGGAACGTTTTTTGAACCCATTGAAGACTCCTCTTCGTCCGGAACCACTACCTTTAAGGCGAAGCGCCAAGCCTGCGGGAAAGTAATTTCCCGCAGGCTTGGCGCGGGAAATTACTAATTTCAAAGAAATTTGAAAAATGTGTTGCATTATCAGCAGGCACGTAGCCAGGGGGGTGGCCCATGGGGCCCGGGCCCCCTCCGAAATCTTCCATTTTGCATGGGTTATACTCTCCCCCCTCCCCCTCATACAGCATTTTGTCATGGGTGCCCCCCCCCCCCCCCCCCCGAAACAATATCCTGGCTACGTGCCTTATTATCAGTATTTATATTTCTGCCCTCCCTAAAATGTATTCCTGTATTTGATTTTCCAAAGACTTTATGCCTCTTTTTAAAATATATATTTCCGATACGTATCGCGATACATTTTGACAGATATATTTGTGTATTAGTATTATAGCTACTATGTTCATCTATCCCCAGTATTTATATTTTCAAATACATTTTTGACTATTTCTGCCCAACCCTGCAACGCAATGCAGCTGTCAAGTGCCAATTTTTACCTTTTGGAATTAGAGGAATGGAATGGAACGATTCAGCCATTCCAGGAGTGGGAATGGGCCCAGTGCCCCCATTCCTAGGAGTTGAAAGGAATTGAATTAACGAAAACTCAAATTCCCCGAAATGGAATTGGAATGGAATGAGGGTGCCCGTTCCGCAACACTGGTGCAGAGCAGGCGCAACTGCCGATCGTCATGATTCAAAAGTGCGACATCCTCAGCATTTAGATTCGGTGTTAGCAGGGATGGGCAAAATACATGCAAATATGTATCGAAATACGAATACAAAATACTTCGTCAAAAATGTATTTAATTACAAATCTAATTAGATTTCCAAAAAAGTATTTAAATACAAGATACAAATACAACAAATGTATTTGGTCTCCTCCAAATACTTTTCCAAATACATTCCTCAATATCTGCGTCAGCGACTTCAGGGCACCTGCAACGGGTTTCTGGGTATCTCATTATAATTTTGCATTGCACACTCGGGAGTTAGTGTGCGAGGCTCTAGTAACGTAATAGAAATATAATCACAAAAAAATGTAATCAGCATGGATGTAGTAGGTGAAAAAAGTACAGAGCTTCATGCAGCTTTTTTTTGTCGATTACATTTTGGTATAGATTAACAAAGAACCGAGACGACCAAGACGCGCAGCAGTAGCTAGAGAATTTTTTATTGTTGCAACCCACGCATTTAGAATGTTCCAGGCAAAAATATGGAGGGAAATCAGACTGGAAAGCATCACAAGTTGTCACAGGCACTCTTTTAGCCAGTCTGCCTGTAAACGTCAATTTTGTCACTATTCTTGCCCTGGACTAGCACCGTAATCGCAAAGTCACCAAACGCTTGTGCTTGATTGAGAGACACTGCATTCGGTGCAGGACGTAGTTTTCTTCCTGCTCTGGACAGTGACAATAAATTTGAGGGATGTATTTTCGCCCACAAAATTGTATTTAATTACAATTGTATTTGAAATACCCACGTTTTAGTATTTAAATACACACGTCAAATACATTACCCAATTTGTAATTAAATACAAATGCAAAATACACAAAGTATTTGAAATACGTATTTCAAATACTTGTATTTGAAATACTGCCCATCCCTGGGTGTTAGGAAGCTCATGTAATGTTGCTTTGCTTTGCCGAACACTGTTTAAAATGGAGGACGGAAAAGCGTTTCCTGGGATTTCAGATAAAGCTTCAGATAACTGGCACCCATGATTTTAAGCCACAATATGGCCCAGTGTCGCTACTCTGACGCGTAGCTTATTTATAGCATCTTCGATCAACTCGCACTGGAGCCGCCCCGAAACCAGCACGGTGCGCAGTGCCCCTCGGTGGTGGAGCACGAAGTCGGTGCAACATCGAATAGCGAGGTCGTTTCACGGCACTCGTGCCCACGCGTGCCCACTCGCAGCGTGGAACGGGTTGGTTTCGGCCGGCACTCCACGAGTGGTTGCACTCTCCGAGTTCGTCTCAGCGCTGACACCCCACGCGTGCATGCACTCGCTGCGCCGAGAAAATCGGGAGTGCGCCAAAATGCAATCCCGTCATGCCTCGCTCCGGCGGGGCCGGCGAGGAGCGGGAGCAGACGACGAGGGTTCGTCTGCTACGATGTGTCGCGGAACCGAACGGGAAAAAAAGTAGATTTTCTGATAAAAATCGGGTCCCGCGGGCCACGAAATCAAACGCGAGCTTGAATTGTGAGCGTCTGCTATTTCCCGAAGAAAGCAATTGACAACCCGTGGTTTATTTGCAGGTTTTAAATCGCTCTGTTGCCGTACAAACGCTGAAATATACCAGTGTGTAAAGAAATGCTCAAAACAAACGTAACAGCGGCCCCCGAGATGTCTATCACCATCCGTGTGCGGGTGAAAAATTTAACATTTGTCGACAAAACTCCCCCAGCAGAAACCTCTGACTACCCAATAAGCATCAGAGAAAGCTAAAGATGGTAACTTTACCCGAGGATTGGGCAACATCATCATGTTTAACATTTACCTACGTCAGATAACTTGCCCCGTCGTATTTTGTTCGAGAAAGCTCTCGTTCTCGACGCCCTCACCAAGGCTAATATCTGATCCACCTATAATGACGATCCAAATCGAAAGTCCCAGTTTTGCTGGATATTCCAACAGGCTAGTTTTAAGCCGTACCCTTTCAGTGGTTTACGCATAATACCATGCTCAAACGGATCAAGCTTCTGCTCGGACAGCATCATCAGTTTTCTTCAGTGTAAACGGTTATAAGAATAACCAGCTGCTTTGTAGACAGCTGGTTGCGGAAATTTACGCCGTCTGTAACTACCTCTATGGCAGCCGAGCTGCTTGAAGTCATCGCAACTATAAACTACAGGTTGCAGCGACCAACGTTCGTAGATAAACGTTGGTAGCGACTGCATTCACGCATACCCACGCATCACTCCGAACAGAAAGGCGCTAGTTTCGGTTTGAAGTCGGTGCCTTTTCTACAACATAGATGGCGGCAGCATCAGTCTTCTGCACTCGGTGCATTTGGCGAGTTCGTTTGAGTCCAGTTTTCCGTGCAACACTCTGTGAGTGCGATGCATTCTGGGAGAGAACTCGAACGGTGCCAGTGCGTGTGAAACGAATTCGCTAGAAGACAAACTGCACCGCGCCTGTGTCGGCGGTAGCGCCACCATGCGTCACCTGGATTTTGGCGCGCATTGCAATTGAGCAGACGCTTTTCTCTAGTAGTAGTTAGTGGTGAGGGTAGCGGAAAGCCGGGACATGTTGGCCACTCCTTTAGTGGGGGCGAGTTAGTTCCGGGGAAGGGAGGGGGATGAAAGGGGAGATGAGAAAAAGTTAAAGAAAGAAGAGAAGTAAAGAAAAAGAACAGATTGAAAAGAGAAGAAGGAAAATGGGATGAAAAGGGATCAGAAAGGAAGATGAAGAATAAAAAAAAAAAGAACAATTGGTCAGCAGTTCTTGTGGCTCGGTTGTTGAAGTGTTGCCATCGCCCAGTGTATGTCAGACACCGGGGTTAGAGGCGGTCAAATAAACTGGTGTCCTCCAAGAACTTGAGAACTGCGGCGAATGTTCTCGAGACATCGCGTGCAGAACCTGGGGGAAAAAGAATGTCCTGTGTTGTAGCACTTGCTACGCCTGCTTGCCGCAGGCCGTCGAGAAGCGATTTTCTTTTGTCCGCTAGAGTAGGGCAGGTCCAGAGGAGATGGTCCTGGTCCTCGGGAACATCACAGGATGGACAGTTTGGGTTTATTGTTGGGTCCATACGGTGAAGGGCTTTCGCAGTAAAGGCACAACCAGTGCGAAGTCTGTGCAGTAGAGAAGCGGAGGCTCGGGACAGCTTTGGAGGCACGCGTGCGGGTGGCTTCCCGGTAGAGACGCGCGTGTCCGGATGTAGTTTCTCTATTTCTTTGTGAATAATAAGTCTGGCCTCATACATTTTTGGTATAACAAGTGTTGGTACATGAATGTGGTGAGCTGCATTAGCGAGACGATCGGCTGTCTCATTGCCCGAGATACCGACGTGTGATGGCAGCCATTGGTATGCTATATGCCATCCTTTAGACTCTAGGTTTCTTGTCATGTGTCCAATGTATCTGGCATATTGTGGGGCGTCTTCGAGGCTACCGAGAAGTTGTAAAGCTATTCTGGAATCTGTGAGGAACACTGCCTTTCCACTGTGAGGGATACTGTCGAGGATGTCAAGGCCTAGCCAAAGCGCGGCAAGTTCGGCAGTGGTAGATGTAGTGTGAAAGCTCAGTTTCCTTGATTTGGCAATTTTTAGTTCCGGTATAAAAACTGCTGCAGTGGATGATTTGCGGCTATGAAGTACCGAGCCGTCGGTATATACACGCATCCATCCTAGAAAATCCACCTCAATTCGGTATTCTGCGAGGGTCCGAGCGACAACTTGGGCTGTGGAGCGTTTGCTTCTGAGTTCCGGAATAGATTCACTGATGTTCAGCGGCGAGGCGTAAGGTGGTGGTGCCGGGTAGATTCTATCTAAGGTGCCCACAATTCCTTCAAAGTCTCTAGCGAGAGATCCAAGGCGAGATTGAGGACAACTTCGAATATGGTTCAAGAGGGACTCTGTTGACCGGCAGGATGTTTGCCTTGCGATGTGGCGAAGTGTCAGCTCTCTGCCGTGGTTCTCGACAAGGTTGACCCTCGCTTCAACCAGCGTTGGAATGTTCGGGGAGTATCTCGGTAAACCCAGACAGAAGCGAAGTGCAATCCTTTGCAGGGTCTCAATGGCTGCAGACTGTGCATTGCTCAGGTGAATCAGCGGCAAGGCGTATAATAATCTCGAAAGAATGAGGCCTCTGTATAACTGTAGCATCATGACCTGAGACGTTCCCCACCTGCTGCCCATCATCATTCGAACGGCGTTGAGGTGGCGGCGACATCTGATCAGTGTTGCCTTGACTGCAGGCTTCCAGGAGATGTGGTCGTCCAGAAGAAACCCCAGGTAGGAGTACGTTCGGACACGTGCTACATCTGTTCCGTTAATTGTGTAGATTTTGTTGATCGATGCTCTAGCCGTTGGATGGTATTGAAGGGCAGCTGTTTTGGAGGCGGAAAGCGTAAGGCCTAGTCTAGAAATCTCGTCTACAACTATAGTCAATCCGTCCTGGAGGGTTTGTTGCATCTTGCTATATATCTTAGTCGGGGCGGTAGTCCAGAGGGCCACGTCGTCAGCGTATATTGCGATGTTAATGACAGGTCCCGATGACTTCGTACGCCGTAGAGCCTCAGGCAGTGCCGCCATAGCAGCGTTAAATAAGAGAGGGCTTATAACACTGCCCTGGGGAACGCCTTGGGTTACCGTACGTTGGGAACTTCGAATTCCACCTAGGCGTACGTGCATAGACCTTTCTGTAAGAAAGGCGCGTACGAATGCCAGAGCTCGGCCTGCAACCCCGAGCCTTGTAAGCTGAGCAATAATGGTTTCGTGCGGAATTGCATCGAATGCTTTCTTAATATCGAGAAATATTGCTGTTGTTGCTTGCCTTGTTGCCTTCGATTGTTCCATGTCTGATACGAGGCTGCCGATCGCGTCTGTCGTACAACGTTGTTTGCGGAAGCCAGACAGCTGATTAGGCAGGGCGCCCGATGTCTCGAGCTGCCAGTCAAGGCGCCGTAGGACCATTCGCTCCATCACCTTCCCCAGACAACATGTAAGAGATATCGGTCTGTAGGAGTTGGTGACACCTATCGGTTTTCCTGGTTTATGAATGGGAACAACCTCAGATCTGAGCCAGGCAGGAGGAATATCAGACGAGCGCCAAATATGATTTAAGTATTCCAGAAGGCCAGGAAGCGTCATATCATCAAGGTTACGAAGCGCTTGAAAAGTTATCCCATCTGGGCCTGGTGCGGTGCGTTTCCGAGAAGAACGCTGAAGAGCATGCTGTAGTTCATTAAGCGTGAAATCGGAGTTGCTGGCAACCTGCGCTGGCGTGCTGGTAGCAGTGGCTGCGACAAATCCCGGTGGCGGAGCGGGAGCAGAGATGAATTCATCAGCAAGGAGTTCCGCGGCTTGAGGCAACGTGATGTTCTGCGCGATAGCAAGGCCAAGGACCGGTAAGCGGGGAACAGCATGACCCGCCAGGATGCGGGCCATTCGCCATGCTTGCCTTCCGCCACCGGGGGAGTGAAGGGTCTCACATCGCTGTCGCCATTGTCTCCGTTGTAAGCGCATGGTATGCCTACGAAATGCCGCATCAATCCTTCGATAGCGTTGTATATCCTCTTGTCTTGATGTTTTCAAGGCACGTCGTTGTGCATTGCGGCGCGAGGCACGTAGCCTTAAGTATTTTAGGTCCGGGTTGGGTCTATATATAGGAACCGTAACTCTCCGTGTCGCTTTGCAGAGCGCCTGAGAGATGGCGGTCGTGTGATCACTGGTGCCAGTAGATATTATATCTTCGAAGTACACTCTGAAGGCATCCCAGTTTGTTACAGAACAAGTCTTGTGGGTGACAGGTTTTTTCTCTGGGGAAGTAATTATAATAGGGAGGTGGTCACTGCCCCAGCTGTCGGGTTCGGCGAGCCAGAGCGCACGTACTGCAGCGGTGGCGAAACTCAGGTCGAGCACACTGCTCTCTACGCCAGGTCGCACAAAGGTTGCAGTGCCGTCGTTCAGACATCGGAGGCCAATAGCTGTAGTGGTATCCTCTAGAGACCGGCCACGAGCGGACGTTTGCTTGTCCCCCCAGGCCTCGTTGTGCGCGTTAAAGTCTCCAAGGATCAGCGTGGCTGGCTTACACCGAGAAAGGATCGTGCGTAAGAAGGAAGGATTCCAAGGAGAACTGGGCCGAATATATACCGATACGATTGTCATGGCGTCCGAGTTGTCTTTTTGTATCGTGACAGCCACGTATTCTGCGCTTTGGTCGCAGAGATCTGAAAGATCCACTTGGAACTGAGGTAAGTCTCTGTGTACAAATAGAGATGCCTTAGGTGCGTCTGTTGTTGTTGATGTTGTTCGGGGAGTACTGGTGTAGATAACGTAGGGAGATAGTCGGATCGCTCCTGACTTCAAGTTGGTTTCCTGGAGGGCGAGTACCTCGACTTCGTGTCTCCGTAAATGTTGCCGTAAGTCATTTATCTTGTTTCGAAGCCCGTTGACATTCCACTGAATTATTGTGGGAAATAAGCTGCTTTTATTGCAGCGAGGAAGTGTATTCTTTGTATGTTTCGTTTTTTCACTTTGCGATGTGTTGTTCCTGATGAAGCAGTCTAGTTGCACCAGGAAGTGACAAGTGGAACAACAATGTCAATAATTGTGATCATTGCTTGAGCGATGGGTGACTGGAGAGAAGTGAGGAAGGAGCGCAACAACGTGACAATTGTGCACAACGCATTACCAAGGCTTTGAGACTTGGGTGTTGCAACTGATCTTGGCTTCTTTTGAGCTGGGTGTTCTCTTGCCCATTTTCTTGGTACTTCTTGGTTCTTAGAAGTATTCTGGGTCGAAACAGCTTCTGCATTCTTGGGTGAAGACTCTGGCTGCTCTGCAGACGGGACCATTGGCTTCGGCATGATTTCTGATGACAAAGTATCCAACGGGGGAAAATCGGTTTCATTCATCTCTGGGATGATAGCTTTCTTGTCTCCTTTCAAGCTTTGCTTTTGCTTGTGGGGAGTGCGGTGCTTCTCCAGTCCTCGAACCTTTTGTTCATTCGTGATGACAGTTTTGGCAGACGTATAGTCGACATTGTTCGAGCTTCTGTAGTTAGTTATCTGCTTTTCAGCTTTGTAGGCTGGGCAGTTCCGGGATGTGGCATCGTGGCCTCTCTTGCAGTTTATGCACCTTGGTTGCTTCGCTTCGCACTCGCTGACGACATGTTCTCCACCACATCGGCTGCAGCGTTCCGTTTTGGAGCATGTGCCCGCCAGATGTCCGAAGCGGTTACACTTAGGACACTGCCGCGGTTTTTCGAGGTAGGAAAGGACACTGTATCGTGTGTGCCCCACAAAGACGTATTGTGGTGAGGTTCTGGTGGAGAAGACAAGCTTTACCGCCTCTGTCTTGCCGAGTCTCCTCACTTGAATGACTGGTGCTTTTTCCCTTATTGATGCCCAGAGGTCCGCGTCTGTGATCTCTGTTGATACGCCGCGAATAACGCCAACATTGGAAGATGGGGGTGCTGGCTCATACGTCTGAACTTGGATTGTGCCAAGCTTCTTCAGCTGAAGAAGGGACTTCGTTGATTCTATATTTCTTGCATCTATGGCCAATAGGTTAAGGCGATAATTTGGTCGAATTTGGATTACTCCGTCTGGTGCCAGGTTTTCTAGCATCTGTTTCAGAGCCAGGGGATTCATGCTAGTGATGATCGTGGTCGGATTAGTAGGTTTGACAATGACCACAAGGTTGTGAGTAGGCTGAGTGATGATCGTCGCCTCACTCGAATTGGATCCGTGGCGTCGTTTCTTTGCTACTTTGGTGATCCATCCACCTTCGTCATCAGACTCCTCCATGACGTTATCAGGGGAGCACTCAGAGATGTTGGATGATTCGGCTGATTGGTCTGCGCTGCATGCTTGTGGCGGTGCGTTTGGATGGCTCATTTTCCTTAATCCCCGTTGGTCGGAGACGGGTCACTGCTTCAAGAGCCGAGGACTGCTGCCCCTCGTTGAAGAACGAGGGGTTGCGGAAGAATCGGTGACAGATATATATATAAAATTGTCATTTACCTCTAGAGCAATGTAGAGAATGGTCCTACCGGACTCGTCGTCGTCGTTTTTTCACGCTTTTCTCTTTTTGACAGCTGTCAGCGGGCTTGGCCTTTTTTTTTTGTTTGCGTGCTCTTTTTGCAGTGGTAAAAGATGAACACGGTTGAGGTTTTTGTGAATGGTGCCAGACATCGCGTGACGTTATCCAAGGCGGACCTCGACGATCTGATGGCCGGCGAGTTGTTTTTTTTTTTTCTTTTTTTTTCAAAAAAAAATAAGAGTTAGTGTACAGTTTTGCTTGATACATTCTGAGGCTTACTAAGGCAGCTGACTTATGTCCTTTTACGCATCACTGACGAGGGATCAGATTATTTCATTTAAAGTTTTGTATCAAACAGATTCGTCGAGGTTGCAAGCCTGGGCATCCTCGTTTGCCGGCGGCGCAGGACCTTTGACGGTCGGCGACGCAGGACCTTCGACGATCGGCGGCGCAGGACCATCGACGGTCGGCAGTGCAGTACAACCTTCGACACCTTCGACGGCCATCAGCGGTGCGTATTTTTCTATGAATTTTTTTTTTTTATGTGCATACTCCGAGTTTCCAGAGCAAGGGCATACAAACCTGCCGTCCAAATTTTCACTCAGCAACAGGAGAAGCGCCTTCTGTGTTGCTCC